AAATAGGTAACTGGCATGAAGCAATTGCATTAATTTTGAAGCCCAGAGAAGGAGAACAAGATAAAGATTTAGTAAATGCTAGAAAAATATATGAAACCACAAAAGATGCATCTGCTGCATATAGAACAATTAAAAGATGTGATAAGATAGAGGCTACACTATTAAAAGGTCTTTCTATATCTGGTAATCATAATGCACAGGGTGCTTTGGATTCAATACCAAGAAATATTCGTTTAATGTATATTCATGCCTATCAAAGTTTTGTATGGAATCATATGGTATCAAGAAGAATAAGAGAATTTGGAAGAAAACCTATAGTGGGGGATCTAGTATATGAAAATTACGTAAAAAATAACGATAATGAAGAGGATTTCGTTTATGACAACGAGAATGAATTTGTAACTGAAGATACTGTAGAATCTAATGACAAAATAAGTAAACCTGAAACAAATACAGATGTAAAAACGAAAGAGATGTCTGAAGCAACTGTTGAACTAACTGCTTCAATTAAGGAAGTAACAGATGCTACAGAATGTTGTCTTAAAATTGATGAGAAGACAGATCAAAACAAAACCACTAATGAGAAAGATGAAAGTGAAGATTTATATAATCTCCCTGCAGTAAAAGTTCTTAAAGAAGAAGATTTACCAAAATATACTTTGGCAGATGTATTAATGCCACAAGTTGGCTGGAAAGTCACATATCCATCTTATGCTAAGCCATGGTTTGATGAGTTTTTAGCAAAAGATGGATTAACTACGGATCTTAGGCAAAAGAATAAGTAAATATTATTAGGAATAATGTTTAAATATACATGGTTTTAACGTAATAATAACTTGTATATTTTATAACGTTTACTTCATTTCAGAAAATACAGTTTAGGAGGCACGTACAGACAAATACTACAAATTCCTTCAAATTTATCGTGGAAAATTATGCATTACAAGGAAAAACATAGTGATCTTATTATGTGTGACATTGATGAAATGAGGAAAAATACGGGGTATATAGAATTCTTAAATTTTTCAGAGGGGCAATACAAAGCTTTAATTGTTGAAGTGTCTTTAAAATCTTCTACATATGCGACAATGGCATTGCGTGAAATTTTGAAATTCGATACTTCTCCACAAGCACAAGCTGCTCAGTCTGCTGCATGTAATGCAGTAGTAGAGAATTCAGATACATCAAAAGATGTTACTGAAAGTAAAAATGCTATGCAAGATGAAAACGGAAAGAATGATGCGAAAAAATGTCCCGAAGTTCAAGAGCAAAAAGTAGAAGATAATGAAATGGAAGTATCTAATGCAATATAAAGCTGTGATATATCATTATAGCATTTAAGAATTCAAAAACTTGATTATTTATTTGTATAAGTAAATAAAACATGTAAAACATTAGTATACGTAATCTTAAACATATGATAGCGTTTAAATTAGCATTATTCAATGCAATTTATTTTTTTTATGGATATTTATTTCACTTTTGTTTCATTTATGTGTACAATCAGAATTGTTAATTTAAATATAAGAAAATGTCTTATTTTTATCTTAACTGAGCAGACAAAGCACATAGCAACATATTTTATATTCTGTTCTATTTTGACGAGATTTGAATAGACATTTATAATAATCGTTGTATCCGATTGACATATGGTGTCTTCTTCATTATAATAAATTTGGAATATTCAGTAAATTTTATGTATATTTTTTAACCTACAGCAGATGTATAAACGTAAAACCGTATATTTGCATTAAAATTTAAAATAAGTTGGAAGCATTTTTAGAATTGATCTCCCATAATAATGTTGCAATATACATAATGTAGATCGAGGTATTGTCGTTTGTGGTCGATGAAGAAGCGATTTGTAATGATTCCGAGGAGACTTCAATGGCGTTAATATCCTCTCAGGTGACAAACGAGGGAACGACACTGCGGGACGTCCGGCGTCCCGATGCCATACGACAAATTATCTCACCTCCGGTAGAATACCTTGAAAAATCACCAATATCGTGACGAAGCGTTACTATTGAAAAACGTATAGTTCTGATGGTGTAATTAAGCGTCATTCTGATTCAAGTGACGTATCTCATCAAATAGTATCCTTTAATAACGTATATTAATAAATAAAGTTATTTAAGTTCTTAATTTTACAGTTTATAAAATTCCTAAGCAAGTATATGCATATTACGAGGTACTAACTAAAAATTAAAAAATTAACTAATAAATTAGAAGGTTTTCAATTTAATAATGTAACTTTCTGCTTGGAATAAATTCTTTTTTTTTTATAAATTATTCAATGCCGAAAAAAGTGAAGTTCAAGCTGCAAGGGGTTCGTCATTATCTTTCAACCGATCGATGCTTGCAATTTTAAAGAATATTTCTCCGAGTACAAGTTAGAAAAATTCCTGTTGCAGGAAGTGTGTGGCTTCCATGCATGACTGTTACTTTATTTGAGAACGCGATGTCATTCTAATGTTCTTGGTACCGATCGGCACTATAGAATAATAGAAGGCACGATATGGGGCAGTGATACATTAACTGTAACACTCTTCCTCTGCACATACAAAGTTTCACATCATTTTTCATTCTCAAATGTTCTGCTTTAAATCATTCAAATATTTTATATTTTACACAATGTTTTCATTTCTACACTGTTAAATATTTTCATCCTCTGTATCACATCGCGCACTTCCAAATTGTTAATTATATTATATAATTGTCATTATTATCGATACATATCGTATACTGAAAAATGATAAAAAGTTTAAAAGTAATAGCCTGGTAAAATTTAGTATGTTTGCTTTTAATAAAAAAAAAGAAAAAAAACTTAAAAAGCATCGATTCCTTTCATTTTACGATCTCGAGAGAAAAGTTATTAAATACAATAATATATTGAAAGTATTGAATATATTTCAACAGATGATATTTCATAATACTCTGAAGCATTATGATGCTGTGTATTATGAAAAGGCGAATCAAACTCCGCCCTCCGGAAAAAACACCGCCCCTCGACATGCGCCTTCGTCGTCACCAACCCTCTTTCTCACCTGTAATCGCCTGCATAATCTGTTTGGGGTAGAGAGCATCTAATTCGAACTTATCCTTCTTCATGTTTGGATTCGTTAGCGAAGTCCGCGAAATTTTATCGTTGGTGACACTCGTGAAAGTTTCGCACATATTGACTTTTTTTCAATTTCTAATGTCCGGCAAGTATTTAAATGCAATTAAACGTGCAACTTTATTTCAACGAATAAACAACATTAAAATTCTTTAGTAATACGAAATTATTTAAACCACCGCTCGTAAGTTTGATCGCGTAATGCAAAATTGCGATGTAATTCAATTCATCTCAATACGTTTCATTCAAGTCGACGAAATTTCAATTCCGTTTATCTAATTCAAAGTTTTACATCAAACTCAAGTCAGAGTGAAGTTTATCATTTTTGATCTTAATTCCTTTTTTGTTCCTACAGTTACTTTCAGTTTTACTGTATTTTAAACGGATGCGCTGAAACCTTTGAGCGGCAGTGTATAAGAAATTTTTTAAATAATTTTGTATGTACAAGAATTCTATTTTCACATTCGTAATAAATTTGCGGCATTAGCAGAATGTTCTAGATCGGTTAAAGTAGATTTAACTTTTAGTTCTTTAAATTCGTACATTTTGTAAATAAACAGTGGTACAATGTTTCGTTGTTTGAATTTAAAATACGCAGTATGCAGCGTAGTGCAAGAAGCGCCATTAGATTTAAGCTGTCGCGGCGCCGAGGGGAAAATGAATTCGCAAAGTTCAGCGAAATTTCAAAGATGTTTATCTTGCCAGACGTGTGGCAAAAATTTTGACAGACCTTCTTTGCTCAAAAGGCATCTACGAACGCACACAGGTCAGTGTAACAAATCTACGTGAAAGAAAGCAATATTTGTTATAATATTTCATTCATTACTCTATCGTATTACTTTATAAAACAGTAAATAACAAATTTACGGTTGAACGAATATTCAAATAAATAAATTTAACGAGTTTGTAGTGGAAGATTAGTATTTTATTTTATTTTTCTGAGAGAATCCAAAGGGTTTTTTTTTTAGAAAGGTTTAAAAATAGGAACAATTGTAATGGAAATAAAAGTTGACGTGAATGGGATAACGAATCAAACATATTAACAGGTGAAAAGCCACATGGTTGCACTGTGTGTGGAAAAATGTTCAGTACAAGCAGCTCTTTAAACACACATGTCAGAATTCACACTGGAGAACGACCTCACGAATGTCTTATTTGCGGGAAACGTTTCACCGCTTCGTCAAACTTGTACTACCATCGAATGACTCATTACAAGGTTCTATTAGTGCTTAATATTTTCAAATTTCTACGTTACAAGTGTCGTATATTTTTTACGTTGCGTTAAATTTTAATCGAATTACCTTCTTAACTCTTTATAACGCCATGTGACTTGGAAGATACATTTATTTATATCTTATAGTCCCATTTTATTTATTTCTGTTGTACTATTGCACTGTAGTGTTGTACTATTACATTATTACCAGCCAATGTTTTTATAACAACTACAATTTACAATTATCACATTTTTTTATAATAATTATTTGTTATATTAATTTTTGCTTCGCCTATCAAAGTGTAAAATTGTAATCAACCGTAATTTCTCTTCTCGCGAACGAAGAAAAGTCAGGTTATAGAGGGTTAATATATAAAAATTGTAATATGACAGGACTGTGAAATATTTCAGTATATCTGTTTATATTTAAACAAGTGTAAAACAAGTACGCAATTTTCGAATTTCTGAATTAACATATTTTTTTATCCTTTAGAAAGTTAAACGTCATATTTTAAGATCAATTGTAATTGTAATTGGAATCATAATGAAACGAACAAGTAAATTAACATGTTAATGTTAAACGGTCATATTCTTTTTTTGCCGTAAATAATATTGCTTGACAGCGAAATCAAGATAGCACGATATTTAAATCTGGCATTTAATTTACTATTATATGATAATGATGAAATGTACGTAGGAAAAACCCCATAAATGCAACGAATGCGGTCGTTCTTTTCCAACCCCCGGTGATTTAAGGGCCCATGGGTATTCCCATAGTGGCAACTGGCCGATGCGATGTTCGGTTTGCAATCGGGGATTTTGCAAACCTGGAGCCCTACATCATCATATGCAATTGCACATCGGTAATTATTATTAATTAGATATCGTGTAATGTAGCAACTGATGGATCCTTCGCACCGTATCAATATTGCTATTAACGCTTTCGTGACCGTGTTATATTTTTGTTTTTTTTTTAAGAATTTGTTATTTATCTACCAATCATCGTGTCTGCAATCGATCCTAAATTGAGATCAACTTTTGATTAAGTACTCAAATGGGACATACGCGTGTACCGGTAGCTGTTAGGTTTCAATAAGACACGTGCTCTTTTACAGTGCTTTAACGTTTCAATTAACGACCTGAATAGTGTTTTATTAAATTTTTGTCTATTCTTGAATCTTCAATGGACTTGTTAATTTGAACTATTGCAATTGATAGAAAGATTGAAATATTTGAAAAAATATTTAAAAGATTAAGAAGAAGCTGGAAGATTAAAAAAAGATTAAAGAGATTATTATCAGAATAATTGTAGATATTAGAAAAAGATTAAGATCTTCTGGATTTTGATGCGTAGATAAAAATATTAAGTCTGCGTTACACTTGTATTTAAGTTTCATTATAACTTTTCGTAAAATTTATTACATAAAACTGTATTGAATTTTTCCATGAAATAAACTATTACCTTTTTAGGCAATCGACCGTATCGTTGTAATATATGCAAGAAACAATTTTCTGTAATCAATAATTTACGATCACACGAGCGATCACACGATCTTGATGTTCCGATTGGAAATATCGCAAACTCTTCAAACCTAGGAAGTGAAACATCAATTATAAACGCAGCTACGTATAAAGATGTAAGTAAAAGTCATTTACAATTTCCAGCTGTTTATTCTTGGTCTTCTTGGATACCATTGCATTATTCAAAGTGAATATAAAGTAATTGCCAGAATAAACATTTGCGATACACATATTTTTATTAGTTATCAAAAATTGATAACGAAAAATGTTGATTACTTAGTGAAAGACAACGATCTACATAAGTACGAGCAAATCTTATCTGTATAATAAATGTACCGATGTATCAGCTTGTTTAAAATTAAATTATCACAAATTATGTACTTCAAATAATTTCAATTTTCCTTCAACTTAATTTTCGAACGTGTATTTCTCAAATAATAATTATAATACCAGGTAAGGAGACACCTATAAAAAAGAAAAACGTCACATTGGAAGTGTATAAAATTTATTGTACAACTTCTCTTTAAGCAACAGTGCACAGCAATCATCGTCGGTAAAACAACATTCTTTTTTTAAAGGTGAGAAATGAAAAGCTCGATAAAAATTTGTATCGTAGAAAGAGTATAATTACATCGTATCGCGAATATTGTTCGAGTTATCTACGTCCCTTGAATTTTGAGGCATATAATCGAGGATTGGTTGGTCCTGTAATTTCATTTTTCTGCTGTTCGGCACATACTCCAATTCTACTACCACCAATTCATTTTCTCCTGACTTCAAGACAGATGCAGGAACATAGAGCGTCATTTGAGGTCCGGCAAGTGGCCAATATCGACCTAAATTGAATCCATTCACGAAGGCAACTCCTTTACCCCAGCCAATAGTATTTAAATACGTATCCATCGGTTGACCAAAGATCGAGAATGTCCCTCTGAGGAAGAGTGGACTGTTGCGAAGAGTTCCAGTCTCGGATATAATAGATGAAACGTAACGAAGCGGGTAAACACTATCTAAACGGAATCCAGTCATTTTCCAAGGACCAAGAGGAATTTTACTGAGCGATACATTCGAAATCCCCTATTGGAAAAAAGGAGTATGCAATGAACTAAATGAATACGTTAATTTATCCAAAATATCTATTTTGAATTTTCTCGTTTTATCAGGCTTTGGAAGCTACATGATGTATCGTACAAACATCATCTTCTTATCTTCCCAGAAAACTTTTATTTTACGTGTACTTTGATGCCTGACTGATTTCACGACCTCCCTATATCGGTTCCATTCACTATACTCTGTCTCAATCAGAAAAGCATCTTTCGTCCATTCAACTATCGCTCCAGGCATTTTATCAATCCCACAATATTTTTCAAACAAATCGACTAACTGACCTTAAAATCGTGAAGTCCGTTTCCATAGTTCAGTCTTCCTTGATTCTCAACCAGCAGTTTCAATTTCTGCCCGTAAGGTTCCTCTATGGCAAGATCGTACATCTTATTGGTGCGACTTAGGGTTCCCACCAGTTGATCATCTACGTACACCAATGCTCTGTCTCGAACTAACGCATGTAGTATTGCAGGATCCCAAGTAGTTCTTACTATATCGGCCTCGTAGAGTACCAACCAATAAGGTAACCCAAGAGTTTCGAACGTCAGTGGTTCTGATCCCTCGACACTTATCGTTCCAAATAATTGTCGACCGAGGGGTTCGAACAATTTCAACACTGGCGACAGAAGAATTGAACCGTAGTCCCCTTTTGGGGACACTGTTGGGATGGATGTGTTTGGTAACGGTAAATACTGTAAAAATGACAGAACATTGTTCATTCTAGATTAAAGTATCAAGGTAGAATTAAGTGTCATATAGAATAAATTTATTATTGATTTGTTAATTTTGTGAAAAGTGTCATATCGAATAGATTTATTCCTAATTTTTTAATTTTGAGATTTTTAAATGCGAAGAGCGTGTTGTGTGATTCTTCTAGAAACGGATCAGTTAATGTGAAATTTAGGATCTTTTCATTTCTTAATACACTTGCACAGATTTGTGTCGTTCGATTTATCAAGTTTCGAAGATAACAACTAACTTTGTTGTATCATAGTAAGGTTTCACATACCCTGGCTATAACGTTCCTAATTTCAAAGTATTTTGGAGTTGGATCACCGGCTTCAGTTAACGGAGCATCGTAGTCGTAGGAAGTTAATTGCGGATTGTACGCATTCTGGCCGCCATTAGCACCTGTGGAATCGAATATGCGATTTACTATTTTTTCTGATTTACATTAGCTTCATATCTCTCGATGAATTTCTGATTTTTCAATGTTCTAATATTTCGATATTTCTCAGCGTGAAAATCAATATTTCAAATATTATCTGTTCCTGTAAACTGTTCCATTCGAATTGGAAGTTCCATTGTAAATTGGAAGTAGAAAATTGTAGACGGTTTCCACTAACCAGCTGTATAACCGAAGTTTGTACCACCATAAAACATGTATATGTTAACAGAAGCACCCAAGGCCAGCATGTCATTCAAGGTTTTCGTAACTGCCCCAGATTTCACTCTTTGAAATGGTTCTTGCCAGTGTGTCAACCACCCGGGATAAAATTCAGAGTTCACTAACGGACCCTAATACAGATAACATTTAAACTGTAATTTTTAAGCATCGTGAAATTTCATTATTTAATTTGTTGCAAAAATAAAGAAATTATAGAATGTCCTTTCATATTCGGAAATTACTTGCTGTTCTATTTTCGAATGTACAATGTAAACGATTCACTCATTTTATCTGATACTTTCAATAGACGTATGCTAAGAATATCTTCGACATTACTTGCAAATTTCTGAATGATTATGATTCAGACGGCTAAGTATGATATTCTCTAATAACACCTACATACGTAGCCTTGGAGAAGATTGTGCACATCACAATACTGTATCTAACAATTGTTGCGTTACATTCACCACTTGCATGCACAGCTGAATAGATATGGCAATGACGGTATGTGTTCCATAAAAATTCGCAACAATTGTCGAAACAGTTGATATATGGAAAATTAATAAAAAAATCATTTGCAAAACTGAACGATTTTAAAAATAGGATTGAAAAAATTTTGTACTATATTGTATTATTTCTATATATTGTATTGATATCAAGAATTATCAAGTTTCTTCACAGTTACGATTTGAAATCAAAGTACAGGTTGTTTCTGCCTTTACGAATTAGTTAGTTAATAGTAAAGCGGGAAACTTGTTTTAACTGATCATTTTACATCGTTACATACTGCGTGATTCCCTGTACAATAGAAAATAAAAATTCCGGTCCAAAAAATTCGTAATGATAAAAATTCATAAAACTGGAATTCGTAAAGTGAGAACTACCTGCATACGTGTATGCATAACTATTTTGTCTCTCTTACCACTTCGTGTAATTATTTAAGAAATTTAAACGTATCTACTCGATAATTAATTATTGACACATGTAATTCAGCAAATCTTTGATATTTTAATTATCCACCGATGTTTACCTTTGGCTCATACAAGCGCATGAGTTCGAAGATTTTCGTCACATTTCCACCCGTTCCAAAGTCTATGGTGGTATAAACGTCAGGTATAGATCCGCAACGAAGCATATACGTGCTCGCTCCATCGGTCGTGTACAAAAGTGCCTTCGTTTCAATATTCTGTTTCATTATGTCCCGCAGTCGACTCATGTATTCTCTGTCGCAAGCATAACTTCCATACTCATTTTCCACCTAAATCAGCAACGAAATTCGACCATTAACACTCACGTTTTTGCTTCTTATCCAATTTGTAATTAGAGATTTTTAAGCATATTTAAAAACACTCTTCAATTTCTAGAACTTCCGTTGACATTTTGGAAATTTTTTCTACGTAACTGAATTATAAGAATTATTTGCTACTGTTGTTGATAATGCGAATACTCTATACCCACCTGAACCATTATTATAGGTCCTCCGTTTCCTCTGAGGTAAGGTCTGACTCTTGTGAATACTTCGTTTAAATATATTTCCACATACTGCATGTATCCTGTAAATAGGAGAAAAATTTCGATGAAGGACGACATGTCGAAAGGAAAAATTGACAATAATTTCAGGATCAAAATTATCGAAGATTCTTACGTGGATCATTTGTACGCAATCTTATATCTGGTACGCGAGTCATTAACCAGTATGGAAGACCACCCTGAATATAAAACAGCGAAAGAAAAATGATAAGCAGGAATTGTTGATAAATTTAATGATAATAATAAAATGATAGATTGTTAAAAATAGCTATTGCTTTAAATGATAAGCAAAGAAGTAGGGTGGACCACATTCTCTAATTATGGTGGTACGAGAAAGGAGGATGTTAAAAAATGGCCAATTTTGGCATATGGTCGGAACGAAAAATTTTTTTACAGCATAATTCTACGCATCCTAAGGAACGAAAAATGTAATTGTCATTTTTCCTGGAAATGATGGGAAAGTTATGAAAAATGCGGTTTAAGATAAGAGGTCGTTCGACAGCCTCGTAAACAACGACGTCCTGCCCGATTTCTGAACGCTGTACGCTCGCAACTGTTCTGGGAAAAATTCGAGGCCTTAACTTCTTAGAACGCGTGATATTTCTTGCGAGCCAAACATAAGAAACGCGAGCCTGGGTCGCTGTGTGTACATCGAGCCAAACATAAAGCTAGGAGTCCTTTCGAGAGTGAAAGTAGCGCGAGTTGCTCTCGAGAGTATCTCTCGCGAGTGGACACTGCGTCTGAGAGTGACTGTCTGAGAGCATCGCTCAACTCTCTGAGAGTTACGACTCGAATAAACAGTTGCTTTGCAAACACGAAGCAGTTTCGTATTCTTGACAGAACTCTCGTGCGAGTAAAAAAAGTCAGGAAAAGAAATTAGTGAAGAAATGAAATCACTGGATACACAGTTAAGAAATGCAAATTCTGTTAGAGTCTTACTTTTTTATTGTATCCCTGTCATGACGATTATTTTATTATATTTACAATAGTTTATTGTAATTTTTATCACTTCGAGAATAAATAATTATTGATTTCTGATTGCTTCGAATATAAGCATCGTGTCATCAAAGAATTCCTGGTTTCGATTAATTTGTTATTAATTATTTTTCGACGTTCGGAAGACCGCAATATACCCCCCGTGGACTCACCAGCGCGACACTCGAACAATAGGTCACAAAAACACTCGGGATCATAAAACATTCGTTACCGGGGATCGAATTTGTTGTAAACAAATTCGGTCTCCCAAAAGGTCACAGTTTTCGTCGACCAATAGCCGAACACACCACGTTTTCCACCTCCATAACACAACCACCAATCAGAACCAACCTAATGCCTATATATACATCTACACATCTGAAAACCGACAATCACAGTAAAACGAGTGCACGAGACACATCGTCAAAAAAAGAATAACCGAATTTCAACTAAACATCTATCAAACATCTACATCAACGAACCGAAAGAAAAACATCTAATAAAAAACATCTAACCCAACAACCAAATTTCAATACACCTCGAACCAGCGAGAACTGTCATCAACCTGCGCCAGAACTTCTGGTCATAAGACTTGATCAAAGTCCACGACGCAACAAATTCCTTGTTTCGATTAATTTGTCATTAATTATTTTTCATTATTTTTGGTTTTTATTAAACACTAATGTACAACAATCTTTGTAAATAATACTCAATATGAGTTTCTAAGTGCTTAATTTACGAAGAGACCATCATTCGAAGAAACGAGACGGAATATGTAAGTTATAAGTATGGTCATACTCTTACATTAAACCGCATTTTTCATAACTTTCCGGGAAAAATGACAATTACATTTTTCGTTCGTTAGGATGCGTAGAATCATGCTGTAAAAAAATTTTTCGTTCCGGCTGTATGCCAAAATTGGCCTTTTTTTAACATCCTCCTTTTAATACGTAATTTAAATGGTTTCAAAGTGTGAATACGATGGAAGAAAAATTTCTTTAATTGAAGAAATGGCAACAAATGAAAGCAAGTTCCATTTTTAAGTGATTTTAAAGTCATATTATTACGCATGTTTAAATGCATATCAGTCTGCTATTACATACAGTAGAAGAAATATATATACATTCATAGGTGACCTAGAAAAGAACAGAAAAAATGGCATTTATAAAAAAAATTGTTCATCCATCTTATTCACCTTTAAAACAATTTAAATTACGAATAAAAATTTTCTCACATTACCATAGCTAGAGAAGATAATTAGGTGGCCTGTTTTACGTGGCTCACCCTATATATTAATTTTCAGTGTAAATTAAATAGGATTACTCATCGTTATTTTATATTAAAATAAAAACTTAATTTTCAAGAAGTTCTCACAAAATCTCTTTCCGCACAAATATATGGACCTGGCCTCAATAAAACGAACAAATCTTCATCTTGTGCGATATTCAAGAATTCTACTAAATCCGCATCACCTGTCCAACGCCATTCATTCTCGTTTGGCTGATGAAGGCTCCACTCCACATAACTGCAAATCAAATTGTATCAAAAATTTTAACTTTTTCAACAGTAGATTACAGAAAATTAATGGAATATATCCGTGTAGAAAGGTTTCAAACGAATTGGAATAGCATTTTGTGTAAATTTGATAGACGAAGAATATTTTAGTTATGAATACAAACCGTAGATTAATTTAATCAGGTGCTAATAGAAAAGGTAACTTACGTAGAAATGGCATTTAGTCCAGCTGCTCTAATTTTTCTCAAACGATCTCTCCAGTACTGCCTTGGCGTTCGAAAATAATGAAAACTACCGGAGACGTAACGAAATGGTTTTCCATCAAGTAAAAATTGATTATTGTTGTAATCGACTTCGAAACCAAATTTCAACTGAGTGTCCTGAAATTTCGAATTTCTGTGATATTAGGCAAATCGTGCCTGATCATCTTGTGCCTTCCATTATTTCATTAATCAATTTAACCGATGAAGTATACACGGTATGCAAATTTGGAGCACATAACGTTGTGTTCAAATGCTTTTTGTAATTATCGATGAATTATTGGATTAAACGAATAAATTGAATAATCAAGGAAAATTTGGATTTTTGTGTTGTGCATTTCGAAAATAAGTTACGATCGTTTCCTTAAAAGTATAAATTTATCGTATAAATTCTACAAAATTTTATAAAAATTATATTAAAATTAAACTTTATTTCACTACACTTTAAATGGAATAAAACAATGGTATATAACTAGTATTAAAAAAAATGCATACACAATGTGTCAAACATCAAGAAATCTTCAATTTCATTCGTCAGTAGTTCACACACACGCTATTGATATAAATAAAATAAATGCACATACACACACGCAAACATAAGTATACAAGGTGTTCACGTTATTAATTAGCAGCCTTTTTTCTCGTAAATGGTAGATTTTTGAGAAAAATAGAAGAGAACAAAGTTTCGTTATTTTTTATATGAAATACGATGTCTTGAACAGATGTTTTAAATGTGCAATACTAAATGACACCATGAATTTTCGTACATATTTAGATAGCTACGATTTCTTTTATATTCTATGAAAGCGGTGAAACGAGTTCAACGACCTGCTATACAATAGTGTTCAAGGTCAGTGAAATAGAAGAACGAAGGAAATACTTTAGAGGCATTATAACACTACCTTTAACATAACTTTTACTTATTACATTTAACGTAATTAAATTTATTTATCAATACACAGTTATCATATTTATTTAAAAAGAATTGAAAAATAAAAGAAAGCAAAGGTGCAACTTAAATTGTACTCTACAGATTCTCGTCAATCAATCAAACACCTTCTTTTCAACCTTTAACAATTCGATACTTCTATTAAGCATCTATCAACAGTTTAAACTACTCTACAAAAAGAAGAAAAAAAAAAAATACACTTTCCACAGGCTACTCACATTGTTCACGTGGACGTTCACTATTTCTCCCAGAGCACCGGTCACTGCCAAGGTCAGCAAAACCGACCACATCCTGTTTGCGACCAAAAATCGTGTGCTCCGTTATCAGAAATGACCTTCTCCACGTGTGTACAGAAGAAAACTAACAAAAGTGAAACCACTATACGAACAAAACAATTCGAATTACGAATTGATCAGTCGACGATCAGAGCTTGTTGTTAACTGTTCCTCACCGTCCGAAAGAAAATATCGCTGACTGACGAGACCGTTTATCGGTGAAATAATTTCGGTAGCGGCATGTTTGTTCGTGTTGATGTTTCCGTGAGTTTGGTCGTTGCCGTTCTCAATAACGGTATATAAACGATCTGTTCGATTATTCGACACGTATAGAAGCCAAAGAGGCTCGTTGGTTCGTTCCAGTTTGTCAACACCGACTGGCTGTCTCTGCTAGGGGGAGTCGTAAATGCGCACTCTGACCCGATCGAGAACAGGTCGAGATATCACTGGCCCGTATAGGACGTGCTACGGGCACTGTACTGATCGATGACTTCAGGATGACTGTGGGCCGGATCGGTCGGCAGTGTTAGGCGGACACGCGTTACGCGAACACTCCGTTACGTGACCGGCAATGGAAACGAAACGATGTAGAACTTGCATGGAAATAAATGTGGTCTCGAGGCCCATGCTCGAGGTTTGCCTTTAGGACTTGCGAATCCACCGATTTCGGACAACGATTGATTATCTGCGTGAAAATATGCATGTGTGAATCAGTTATCGAGAAGTAGCCTTTCTTTCTCCTGGACACGATCCACCTTTCTCTCCTGTGCTTCCAGGTGTACCGCTGATGAGTCTGTTACTTTAAAACACTTTGTACCTTTCACTGATTTGACCGATTAGGATATACACTACCACTCATATGTTCCGCTCCGAAGATGTGACACTTTTGAAGAAAACTAGACGGACAATGCAGTGTATTTCATATATTTAATCATTTTGTTTTTTTAATTTTCAAATAGAAATTCGTTTAGAATGTTACCTGTTTAATTTGAACATTTGTACGAGAAACAGTTTTCTCAGATAGTACGAAAGATCGAAGTTTATAAAATTCTGATAGCACTCTAGTAATTGTGATAATAGTGTAATGTAAAATAGAAATAGCAAATATGTTTGTAAATGTTACAACTCCTCTGAGAATTTAATACTAATTTTAGTAAAAGATGGATAAACCAACATATCGAAATGATCGTTTACCAAAACTCCATCATTCTTTTCGCCTAATTAAGTTCTTCTTCCTTGATTGATGTATGCCGTTATGTGAAAGATTAGGAAGTCAAATATCTTGTAATTTTCAGCTTGTTTCTATCTTGATATTAAGGTATCTTTGAATTAAAGAAACAGTGTTGACCATATGGAATGTACGCTGCTTGAACGATTAGGTGTCGTTTAATGGAATAATGAATTTGTTTACTTTTAGAGATTATATCTATGTGTATATCAAAATAATTAAATTAAAAAAGAGGATTGATTTGTTAAGAGAATTAATCAAGATGATACTGTAGTAGCAAAGATCCAAAATAGAAGATACCAGATTTTATGGAATCAGTTCAATTAACCTTTGTACCATATAAACTGATTTCGATTACGAAAATTATCGGAGTAAATTCGTTCGATATAAACAACAACGATAAAGCAAAAATAAAACGAGCTTGTTAAATGTCAATAAAACGTTAAATATTTCATATCTGCAACTTTGTAAGTATAAACTTATAATAAATGTTCTTATTAAAAACGTCAGTCATTAGACATATATTTGTGATTTCCAGAGACTAAAGTAGTTTTACAAGCAGGATAAGAGGGAGTTTGTTATACGATATATTTTTCATAACTATAGCGTGCACCTTAAATTTCACTACCTTAAAAAAAAGTAATTAATTATGCTTAAGATTACCTCTTTTTTTAGTACATAGTCATTTACCTTTCAATTTTTACTTTGAACATTAAAGGAGAGAATTGAAATAAGGTTTATTTCAATTTATTAAATTCTAATATAGGTCATAAGAATTCGAAAGTTATCAAGATTTTAAAGTTGATTAATTAATTATCTTATTCTGATTATGGTTCGTGAATTTTATTATAGATATATATTTTTAATTATTTTCAAGGAATTACTCCGACAATTTTTCTAGATAATTAAATTGACTTTTCTAAAGTTCAAGTTACAAAGTAATTTTTTAAGATAGCTTTTCTCTGCAAATGGTTCAGGTATATGTACATAAGTATAAGCAACCATTTTTCGCATTTGCTACCATAAATTCCATAAATCAAATTCTTCACCGGTATCTCGTCACAGTTTATTTTTCGTATCGTGTGACGCATCATAACCACAAACATTCTACGTCCTTTTCGTGATAAACATAGGCTTCCAGTTCATCTGTATCATAATATCAAGTCATGGTTTTCAACAAATATGTACTATAAAAAATTTGTTCAAACACAATTTCTT